GAAGATTGAAGAAGAAGAAGAAGAAGAAGAAGAAGAAGAAGAGTAGGCAGAAGGGAAGGGAATTAGAGAGTGGCGAAGAGGCAATATATAGAAAAAGGAGGGGAAAGAAAAGAAAAGAAAAAGAAAATGGAGGGTGGAAATGAAAAGATAAAAAGGAAAGGGGGCATCGGAATAATGAGGGGATGGGGAGGGAGACGGGAGGGCGGTGATTGGGCGTGTGCGGTGCATCCTGCAGATTGAGAGCTCGCAACCTTCCCATTCGAGTCGGAAAATATTTCTTCTTTAATGATGAGAAAATTTTCTGTATTATAAAACATCCTACTTCCTTCCATTTTTATTTATATAAATGAAATGGACTCCGCCACGTTACTAATACAATGATTGATGTGGTAAATAATAAATAGAATAGAGTATTCTAGAAATTTTATTAAATATTTGACAACTCATTATTAATTTAAGAAAAAAATTGTTTTTACATTTCTTTTATCTTAACAGTCAAACATTTAGTGATTAGGAGGATAAAGTTCTTCTTCATTGAGGAGCCAAATATTTTCCTTTCCAACTGAGAAGCAGCGTAGTCTCAAATTATTTAGTTTCGACTTAGACCCCATATCTTAATAAAATTTCAAAAAAAGTTGAAATTATAAACTTCGGTAGAATAAAAAATATCTATTAATGGCCTAAATTTTAAAAATATTAAATTTCAATTTTTAATCAACAACATGAGGATAAGGAATTTAAATCTCCTACTTAAGTTGAGCTATACTTAGACTTTAAAATAATAAGTTAAAATTTTTAAATATTTAGATATCTAGCTTATGTGATTTTTTTTTTAAATTCGGGGATTTATTGAATACAAAGTCGAAATTTCAATAATTTATTAGACATTTTTCAAAGTTTATAAAGTTATTGGAATATGATTTGACCATTGTTAACCTAAAACTCATCTTATGGCACTGAAGAGTTCACTTAGTCTCTACGTAACCATGGACCATTCTTTGCATACAATGATGTTGATTGCTTAGTCGTCCTAATAGCAAACGATCTATTCTTGGTTTCTAGAAAAATCTACTGGTTTGAGTTTTCTAGAAGCAGCCTATTCTTTTAAGAATCTATTTGACATATTTTAAAGTTTGACAATTTATTAGATAAAACTCTCAAAGTCCATATGCGAAATTTGAATATAACCTACTTTTAATCTAAGAACTCTAATTTTCTTTTAATTATATTATTTAATTTTGCATCCAATTAGGTATCATTGTTTTTATTTTTTTTTAATAAATTAGGTATCATCGTTAATACTATTAATTAAATATTAATACAACATGCCAGTTTGACCGACTAACAATTTTGTCCCATCATGTCACAAGAAAGTAGGTTAGATTAATGGAATAAACTAAACATTTCGACGAGGATAGACTAAATATATTTGAATTAAAAAATTTGTAGCACTTATATTTTTATTTTATCTTATTGACGTAGTTAAATTATTATTCATTAGTTTCATCAACAAATATATAAATTTTTAGTTATCTCTATCATTTTTCCCGCTCCTTTCAATTTTTACTGGCACCAACAAGTTTGCCAACTATGCTACTCTTTCTTTAGTCTAATCTCAATTCCTTTTTTTATACTACTCCTATTCATAGAAGGAGAAAAAGATAAAAAAACGAGAAGTACTCTATATTATTTTAAACATAATGTTAATTGTTAATGTGACATGTAATGAATGGAACTAATATGGCTCGTGGTACCAAAAATTTTTCAGCGGAAGAGACGGACCCATCTTTAGTTTCTAAGCCGACACGTCGCACCCGGAAAGCTAAACGAGGAAATATATTAATGCTATCATGACGACGGTTGAAGGGTAAAATTGTATTTTTACTACATACCCACTTTGTCCTTAAAGTTTGTCCGCGTCAACCAATCACATTTCGCAACTTCTATTATGAGCTTAAATCTTGGGGAAGCAAACTTGCCAGGAAAATATTTGGCTCAAACTTTCAAGTTTCAAGTTCTTAGTTTTTCTTTTTTCTTTTTTTTCAGTTGAATTATAAATTTAGCCCTTAAATCCTACCTATTTACTTTTTTTTTTAATTCATACGATGAATTCATTTTCTTTTAAAATGTTGACACGACATCTTATCTAAGTCTTTCTTAACTCATTCGGATTATATGTTTTAATCTTAAAAAAAAATTCGAAATAAGTAATGATAGTGTAATTAAATGAATCTCGTGGAGAGCTTAAAATGAGATCAAATCACAGTGAGGTAAAAAGAATGTCTAAAATGGCTGCTTTTGGAGACTTGGTGCAGTAAATTACTAAAGTTCTAAAGCCTGAATTCATGAAAAAAGCAAAAGGTAACATCGTGGGGCAACATTATAACGTTGGAACCTTTCAAAGACTTTAAGAAGAAATAGAGAGAGAAAGCCAATATACAAACACCAAAACAATATCATTCGACAAGGTTTGACATCTTTCATGCTTTTTGATTTCGATGGAAGACCTAATTCTTTTTAACTTATTTCCATTTTATTTATTTCCTTCACTTGCAACATAAGAAACCATCTCAAAATAATCCTTTTACTTTTAGAAAAGCAATATTTTTGTTTAATTTAATTGTTTCTCACATAATATATACCTAATATTAGTATAGAGTGCATTTTTTAGATACATGAGAATTGTGACTTGTGATTATAAGAAATATCTAAAAGTAAATGAAAACAAGAAATTAACTTTTCCAGAATTCAAGATAATCAAAGTTTTCTTTTTCCCCGTTTAATTCATCTTTTCTTAGTCTTTCAACTTTCAAGCTTATTTATTTTTTGATATCCTAAATTTTCAGGTATTGTGTAAAAATATTATTATAAATTCAAATTTTAAGGTAATATATGTTTTTCTTCCATTCATTTATCCAATTGCGAGTAGATTTGATGTCATGCAATCAAGTGTTTGAAGTCGGACATGTAGGGCATATGCAAGAGTTTGAGAGAATATAAGTTCAAAAGATTAAATGAATAAGAATATAGGGAACTAACTAACTAAAATATAATCTAAAACATAAAAAGAAAATAGCAACTTTTATTTATTTTTGTTTGTTTGTTCTTTTGTCAAACTTCCAAACTAGGCATAGCCTTCACTATGTACAATATTAAAGCCTAAGAAGATGAAAGGGAAAAAAAGGATTGCAATATCTTTCACCATTTACCAACTTGCACTTCCCCATCAAACTTTTGTCTCTTTGGTGCCTCTTAGCAACACATGGGTCCTTAAGCTTAAAGCTTGATAGACATTAAACAAGTACTAATTAAACTCTCTCTTATTGAGCTATATTTTTGTATACACATATATAGAGAGAGATGAAACAAGGCCTTGATATATAGTGCATGTGGATGGCATTAAAATTTTAACCCTAAAGGGCAACAGAAAAACCAGCTCTTTCTTGATTTAGACACAATTGATCAAGTGGCAAAAAAAAAAAAAAAAAAAAATTAAGGGTTTTCTAGTTTACCACTTACATTTAATATAGGTTTCCAAAAAACTCAAGCTTTTGCTCAATTATTGCAATGGGAAAGTGAAAGTTTAGGTGGTGGTTGCAAGGTTTTAACTTTTTTTTTTTTTGGGTGGGGGAGTGGTTTAATTTTAGTGCAAAACTTCCCACAAAAAAGAGTAGTATTCCCCACTACAAATATGAGGATATATATATGTGGGTAAGAAATATGCATTTGTTGTATAAAAAGTTAAAAAGATAGTGCAAGAGGACAAGGCAAAGGGGCAGAGGGCATTAAAAAGTTGTTTCTCATATGGGGCACTGAGGTAGCCCTTCATGAATCTCGAGTGTCCTAAAGAACTGGACAAATCTCCTTAGATAGGGCACACCCCCTCTTTACAAAAGTACCATTTGCAGCTAGCTTTTATAACAACAGGCCGCCAGGCCAATGGATGCAACTTCAATTATCTTTACTTATAGAAAAGGTTGCCTTCATAATGTGTGGGAGCATCAGCAAAAAGAAACGTTAAATCTTAATTCTTCAAAAATCGATGATGACAATGACAAAGATGAGTAATCAAAGCGGTAAAGAATGCAAATTTTATGTGGAGATCAAATCTAACACGAAAAAACTACGGCCACGACAGAGGTAAAACTCACCATCACTGAAAAGAAGTGTAAAAGTATAGCAAATATATTCACTATGATAAAAAAAAAAATCACTATCCTTATCAATAAATTTATAGGCATAAAGAAAATTATATATAATTTGAATATAGCTCAACTGTTTTAAGACATATATTTTCGATTAAAAGATCGTCAGTTTAAATTCTCGAAAAGCTATCTTATACGATTTTTTTTTTCAAAATAAAAGAAGGTATATTGTTTTATTTAAAAATAGAAAAGAAAAATAGAAAGAAGTGAACAATAGAAAATATTAGGATCTACTCCCAAAAAAAGAAAGTAATAAGGAAAAGTAAATAGAAAGTAATCATCACATAATAATGACCTAATCACTAAAACATATATCAGGCTGGAAAATAGTAACAATTGCAATTATATTTGACCTCTTTATTACAACAAATTATCCATTCAAATATAGGTGAGTAGTCAGACATTTATAATCTTATAGCACAATCTCCCATACAAAATCTGACTTAGTCGAGACACTAATTTATTTGGGATTAAGTTTCGAAAATGCATCCTAATTCATATACGAAAAAATTTCACTCAAACATATCTTAATCAAAAATATAAATTTCAAACATATCTTAATAAAAAATATAAATTTAGAAAATTGAAAGTGAAAAGCAAAACTCCCAAAATAGGGCGTTTATTTTGTAGGGTGGTGGGAAAGTTAGAGAAGTGGGATTCTCAAAACAGATTCCCTTGTCTTCTCGAAGGATGGCTTTGCTAATTCTTTCTTGTTTTTTCCTTTCCAATTTTATTAACAAACTTAAATATTTGACCATTATTTATTTATTCTTTAAAAATATTTTTAAAATTATATACAAATTTTAGAAATAACAAAAATAAATATTTTTTTTCCTTATTCCCGTTTATATTTATTTCAAAATATAAATTTTATAATTATTGAATTAATGGGTCGGAGGCATGAAATTTTATTTTTATCTATTAGAAAAGAGGCACACAGAAGAAACGGATGTTAAATATTTGTTGTCAATCATTGACGCAAGTGATGGGAGGGAGCCGTTCTCCGGTGGCGTTGGCTTGGCGCTGGCCGCTGGCCCATGATAGCGACGCATAGATTTTAATTTTAATTTTACTTAATTAATTAATAAGCATCTTAGAATATTCCATTAATTTCCTCTTTGAAGTTTCGGTTCTGCACCAACCTTTTACTGATCGAAATTAACCCCAGACAAGGGATGGGGTTAAAAATAATTAACTCAGGAGATATGATTTCGGTGGCCCACCGATATTCCTCGACGATTCGGTATTGTTTTTTTCTACTTTGTTCTCTTCCACACAACTATCGCCATCGATTCGATGCTTCGTTTTGTTATTATTACTGCAATTCGTCCGCTTGCGGCAGATGTAGCCATTATTCGGTCGTTCGGTAAATGTGAAATTTCAACCACCACAGTTTATTTTACAGAAAATATCAATTTATACGTAAATTTGAAAAGATCTATCCATTTTTTTTACCAACTTTTAATTTTACCATATGTGTCCAATCTTCGCCTATTCCGCGTATGTCTGTACTACCTCTTTTTTTAATTAATATGTGAATTAATAGAAATTGAAACGAGGTAAAAATTGCAACCTTTATCTAAGGTTTGAGAGCATTTTGATAATTTAAAAACTTATGGTAAAAATTGATACAACTTGGATAAGTTTAGAGGTAAAAAATATATTTTCCTTTTATTTTAGTATTTTACCGTCCTTTTTTTCTACATTTGTTAATATTACATCAATGCATTTATCTAAATAATATAAAATAAAATTCATTTCCATAAATTTTAAAATTTTTACAGAAAAATAGTACAATCGAAATCAAAGTTAAATTTAAATACAGGTAAAACACCAGAACTTCCTAATTTCAATTTTTAAAAATAAGATTTCTTGAGAAGAATCAGATTCAACCACGATTTGACGAAATCCTAATTCTTTGATTGCTATCATTCAGTAACGAGGAAGTTTAACAACTATCCAAAATGTTTCACCAAAACTACCACTGGATTTACATAACCATAGAGATTAAATGGTTAACTATAAAATTATTAATTTGAGAGTAGAAAAATTAAACCCTCACATGTACTATAAGTGTTAGCTTTCGAAAGAAAAAGTAGGGGTACACCTTGGAAATTTTCGGTGCTAGGATATTTTGCAAGCCCAATCCCAGGTAGCGATGGCCACAAAATAGAACATGTGCGTCAAAACGGGCCCTCCTTTAGAAAGGAAGCAAAGTATGTATGTATCAAACAAGGTACAATTTTATCTCTTTTAGGAATGTGCTCTCAAGTCATGCTTTTGCAAAAGGTCGTGTTTGACTGTAGTACATTTCACTATTTTTTCTTTTGGGAAAATTTGTTTGTATGATAACCTCAAGAGAGATATCAACAACTTTTTCTTTTTTTTAAAAATGATGCTTTCAAGATTTGTTCCTCAGAATCCAATTTTTTGCTTTGCAACTAGACTCAGAATCACATTCCTTAATTTTACTTTTGGCAACCGTTATTCTCTTTCTGTTGGGTTTTGGTCCAAATGCTCTTTGACATTTGTCCTTTCAACCACTAATTTTCAAGTTAAAAAAAAAAAAAAATTATACACACACATATATAAGAAAAAAGCTCCCAAAAGAAGATCCAAGATGATATCGTTTTCTTTATAAAGTAAATGATTTTGCCAATTTAAATATAGTTTTGGTGGTTAAAAATTAATGTCCCTATAATAATAAAGTGTTACGATCCTTTGAGAAATCCACAATTTATTACTATTCCTTTTTACATGATATTAGGTAAATAACTTCATAACAAAATTCATGGATGAGATTATGAAATAATTTGGAATCAATATCACCAAATATATTCAGAATTTGTTGTCATAAATTGGCGTTGTCTTACCCTGTCTAATTGAAATTTTGGATATTGCAAATATGACCATAAAAAAAAAAAAAATCTATACCCAAATTCAGCATCCAGTTTCACCATTTTTTCATTCAGTTTGTCTGAAACAAGTAGACGAATCTTAATTATAAGTTCTAAAAAACATTTTTCAAAATAAAAAACAAATCTTAGATTTCTATTTTCGAACGTAACCAATACTATCTCCATAATAATACACAATGATATGCTATTGTCCGGGCATGACCCAATTTTACTTTTGGTTTCACCCAAAATGTCTATTAACGAAGATAATTGTCCTTTATCTATATAGCATGAATCACTCTCTCCCCTAGCGAATATGAGATTTTGTTTCTTACAAACCCAACCATTCTCCCATGTTTATAATATTTAAAAGTTTTTGCCAAATGTCAATTAACCTTATTTAAAAGGACCATTCTGGCAATTTTTCCAATGGTTTAGTTTGTGGGCTTGCAGTTTTCCCAAATGGTCAGTTTCAAGGCCCACAGTGAAAATGGGCCGGGGAGATAAGGCTTAGAATTGTCGGCCCAACTTTGTTCTATTAGTCACATGATTTTCTCGTGACGTTTACCGACGTGGCAAACAGCAAGCAGGTCTGAGTCTACTTTCTTCCCAAGGGAGTGCTTGGAGTCTCCCATCTAGTTGAGTTCTTTCGCGCCCGCTGTCTCTGCGATTCGAAGACGGTACTAATTTTGGATAAACTCGACACGGTTGCTGAGTTATTGGCCATGATCTCGCAATTCTTCGTGCTTTCGCAGAGAGGCGATAACATTGTATTCCGAGATTGTGAGTCTTTTTTGTTCAGATCTGAGGTTTTTTTAGTTTTTTTCTCCTCCCGTTCTCTGAATTGCATCGATTTTGGTTTCAATTTGCTTACTGTTTTCTGTCATGTAATCTGTTCTGAATCAGAAAGCATGGCGTTCTTAAAGAACTTTAATCCTTGTAATTGTTCTGTTTCGAGGATGCGATTTTTGTTGTTTTGGACTGTTGTTCCAATCGGAAATTAGGCACTACAGCTTATAATTATGAAATTTAACTATAATATGATGCGATGAATACATCTCTTTAATATGTCGTGATTATTGTTAAATGCATGCAGATCGTGGCGAAGTACCGAAAGGAAGTGCTGAGATCTTTTTCCGAAAAGTGAAATTCTGGAAGGAAGACGGAGAAGGAGATGCGCCACCTGTCTTTGTAGGTATTTTCTTGTATTGACTGTATGGTTGTCTACTGGCATCTTGTCTGCTGCACACACACTCGCTGGAGTGTTTAAGAATTTCGAAATGCAGATTCAAATTAAAGCCAATTGTTAAACTTCTTTTTATGATTTCCCCAATAGGCAGTAGTGTTCCCTACCTTCTGTATCATAGCTATGTTGAAATCTATGACATCCTTGTGTGTCCGTTCATGCGTTCCACCAGTTTGTGTAGGCTATCGATTGTGTCTTGAATTGGACATTGAGTGCAATGTATGCTGATATAATTTTTACAAACCATTAAGTTTTATGATTTTTCTTAATAGGCAGCAATGTCCCTTACCTACTGACTACTGTTTATAGCTATTATGGAATCTAGGATATCTTTGTCCGTCTGTTTCCTGCATTCCACCAGCCTGTGCAGGCTATGGACTCTGTATCTTGGAATAGGACGTTGAGTGCAAGTATGCTGGAATAATTGTTATAAACGAAATAGTTTTATGCATTACAGATATTGGATTACATTCTCTTTTTGTGTGGTTTTTTGACTTATCTGCTCAATGATATATATTTTGATCATACAATTTCTTTCACATATATTTTGATTTTTACATTTTTTTTGGTGTCATCTTTCTTTGGTGGCAGAATTTGGATGGTGTGAACTACTTTCATGTGAAGGTTGTTGGACTATTATTCGTTGCTACAACAAGGATCAATGCGTCGCCTTCTCTTGTTCTTGAACTTCTTCAAAGAATTGCACGTGTAATCAAAGATTACCTTGGGGTTCTCAATGAAGATTCCCTCAGGAAAAACTTTGTTCTTGTGTACGAGTTGCTGGATGAAGTTATTGTAAGTTTGTTATTTTTTCCCCATCCTTTTTCTGGATTTACATACTTAACTTATTTTTGCTCTACCTTTGTGTGGCAAGTTTTTACTTTGTGTTGTGTGATAGTAACACATTAAATTTTATACATGCATCTTGTTATATGGTTTTCATTTGGTATTAGGATTTTGGTTATGTGCAAACAACCTCAACTGAGGTTCTGAAGTCATATGTATTTAATGAGCCCATTGTGGTTGATGCTGCACGCTTGCCTCCTCTTGGTCCGGCTTCCATTTTTGTGGTATCTTCTATACTATGTAACAATCTTTTTCCAGTTTTATTTCTTATATGTTTCTTTAATGGACTTTCTGTACTTGTCTCTTTGAAGCAAGGGAGCAAACGGATGCCTGGTACGGCTGTCACTAAGTCTGTGGTTGCAAATGAGCCTGGAGGTAGAAAACGAGAGGAAATTTTTGTTGACATAATCGAGAAGATTAGTGTTACATTCAGCTCGAGTGTGAGTATTTGTATTTCATATTATTCTTTACAGCTTCAGTTATGCTTCCTTGTTATCTTCAACTCAGTTAGACTTATCAGAAAATTCATATGGATGTTCTTAATGCAAATTAGGTGGAGCTGTTAATTTGATTATTTTAACTTTACTTTTTATACACCAGCATTTAATGCTTGCATACTTTTGACTTATGTGAATGAGAAAAGAGATTTCATGTGGTTTTCCTATCTCATGTACAATGGAAAAACAATACTTCATTCTTCACTATTCATTACCTTCTCAAATTTTTAGAGTGAAAAAAAGATGCACCCTGCACAATTCTATCTAAAGTATGTCTTTGGTGGCTGCTGCATGAAAACCTTTCCCTGTGCAGCTGTGACTGGATTTAAATAATAGGGTTTGGATGGAGGAGAAAGTTAGTAGTTGGTTAGTTTGCTTTGATGTAGCGGTTGTAAACATAGGAAGAAGGGGTCAGTGATTGAGGTAGACTATTACTTGTTAAAACCTAAAAGTGGGATTCATTAGAAATGGTTAGGGAGATTTTATAACTCATCGATTTATAGTAATTTTTCTAAACTAATAGAAATGGCTTTGTGAGCATTATTTTACTTATTGATAGTTTTTCTTTGGTGCATCTTATTAAATGGTACCATGCTATTATTCTACACGTGGCAAACACCTCACCTTTAAAGGATAAGGAAAATTATCTAACAATGTGTTGCAATAGTTCATGGTAAATGTACCCCTTTATTTGGGCTGTGTCTTTTTGTATGCCCCTTGTATACTTTCATTTTTCTCAATGAAAGTGAGGTTTCTTTTAAACTAAATAATAATAATAATAATCATGGTAAATGTACATATTGTTTTACATCAGTGTTTCCATAATGAATTATTATATGTTGACTACAGGGTTATATACTTACTTCAGAGATTGATGGTACCATTCAAATGAAGAGTTATCTCACGGGTAACCCAGAAATTCGACTTGCTCTTAATGAGGACTTGAGCATTGGAAGAAGTGGAAGGTCAATCTATGGTAAGGTTCTGCATATTTATTGGTTGTGTATTCTTTATTCTGTTAGGGCATCGATAATTCATGTAAATCAGAGAAAGCGAGTTGAGGGAGTTTGAGATTTTAGGGTTTTGAGTTAGCATGGGTAGTGTTTTTATTTTTATTATATATATATATTTTTATTTTTAAAATTCCTGTGTGCGTGTGTGATGGGAAGGATGGTAACTGTTTAGGGAAGTACAGAATTCGTAAAGAGCATATAGGAGCTAGGAAGTTTATGACCTTCCCCGAAGTTATATATCCTCTGTTTATGAATAAATAAAGGTGAATTCTATCTCGTTCTATGAGTTTTCTTTATTATTTGCTCTCCTACATATATGTATGATTTTGTGTGTGTACTTTTTGCTCTCCAGTTGTTCTCTATCTACTACAAAGATACATGATAGGTGATTATAGTTGTACAAATTGCTACCTTCATATTTCAATTTGTTTTTGTTTTTGTTTTTTTTTCTTTCGATATTTTAAGTATTTGATATCTATTTGTTTCTGTTCTCTAGAAATAGCTAGGTTGATATTTTTTTTTGATCAATCGGGTATATTTCTTTTGTTTGAGTGCTTACTATTTTTCTCAACCTATTGCATTTTCTTGGGACTCATCCAGCTTCGTCCTGTTTTGACAGATTATAGTAGTTCATCTGGTGGAGGGTCCGTTATCCTTGATGATTGTAATTTTCATGAATCTGTGCATCTTGATAATTTTGACATTGACAGAACTTTGGTCTTGGTTAGTAAAATATGACACAAGTTATTTGCTTTAACTTGTGAATTTAGACTCATTCTTGATACAATTTTAAAAGGTACCACCAGAAGGTGAATTTCCTGTCATGAACTATCGAATGACTCAAGAATTCAAGCCTCCGTTTCGTATTAACGCCTTAATTGAAGAAGCAGGGTCCCTTAAGGTTGAAATAACTTCCCTCCTGCATTATACAGACTGTATGTTTAACATTCCTCAGGATTAGTGTTATTGAAAAGGACCGATTCTTTCAGGCTGAAGTAATTCTTAGAGTTCGTGCTGAATTTCCCTCAAGCATCACAGCAAACACAATTATGGTTCAGATGCCACTGCCAACTTTCACGACTAGGTATCCTTTTTAGTTTTTAATGTGTGGTGTAGCATAGAAAAGGGTAAATCGTGAATAGATGTCATTTTTTGGTTGTGATTTGATCTCTTTGCTTGGAGTTTAGTTAAATAATCCCTGCTGCTTTTATCATTCGTTTCTTTGATGAAGCACAGAAAGTTCAAGATACTGTAAATCCTTCTAAGTTGCTCTAATATTTATGACATTTTCAGAGTCAGCTTTGAGTTGGAACCCGGAGCAGTAGGAAATACAACTGATTTTAAAGAAGCAAACAAGAGGCTTGAATGGGGTCTGAAGAAGGCAAGACGTTTCCCTTAATTTTTTTCCTCTTAATGAGCTTCTTTTACTGGTATATTTATCGACAATTTTAGATAGCCCAAGTAGTAAGTTATTCTGGCCGTATGATTTGTCTCTTTACTTTATTTTTCAGTCAATGAATTATTATCAATTTATACATTAATCATCTAATACTTTGTAAGTTACTTCCATATCTAGAATTTACTCTTTTATATCGATTGTCTTATGTATGTGCCGACTGCCGATTGTAGAGCCTTTCCGAAACTCATTTGGATTAAGACTTTTGCCGCCTTATTTTTCATATATTTAAACAAGCTATTTGTTTCTTTTTTAAAAAAATTCTTTTGACTTATAGAGACCAGCTTGTTAAATGGCAATTTAACAGATTGTATCATTACAATCTGATAAGGCTTACTATTATTTATGAAAAGAGAGCATCATCAAAACAGGGGAGATTCGAGAGCTCCCCAACTCTCCCTGAAGCACTCAATAGAGCGTTACAGCGTTTAGAATGCAAAAACATACCCTCTCCTCAGCAAACATTCTCTCTAAAACCTCCTCTCTTCACGTCACAGCCCTTGCACATAATTCCCTCTTACTAACAATATTCCTTAGGGCCCTCACAAAATCCCCCCTCCCTACTAATTACGTGGCCCCTCTTGTCTCACATGCTTACATGTATAATATTTGGGGATTTGGAGTCTAATCACAATATTCCCAGTCTACACTACAATCTTCCTTGTCTATTACCCTTTTTGCCCCACCTCGCATATTCCCTCAACTATTGAGGGTCAAACAGAACGCCAGTGTCTTGTTATCTGATCATCAGCATGATTTTTGCATTAAATTATTGTTACTGATAGGAGCATCATATTGCAGATTGTTGGTGGATCTGAACATACTTTGCGTGCAAGGCTCACATTTTCACAAGAATCACATGGTAAATATGTCGTACATTAACAAACGAGATATTTTTCTTAAAAAGTAAACACATGCATTTAAAACATATTTTTTATGGCAGGAAACATCGTGAAGGAAGCTGGACCTGTTAGTATGACCTTCACAATTCCAATGTACAACGCTTCAAGGCTCCAGGCATGTTATCTGAACAGAATTGAATCATCTCCTATACATATTCTGATCATATCCTTTGATAATCGATTAAGATGCCAATATCTCCTCTTTTTACTCGCAGGTTAAGTATTTGCAGATAGCCAAGAAGTCTAACACCTATAATCCCTATAGGTGGGTGAGATATGTGACGCAAGCAAATTCGTACGTTGCTCGGTTGTGAATGTAAAACCTTCTTCAAACTCAATTCACTCTCTTTCATTGTTTTGACCTGCGCTGTCAGTAAGCAAAATAAACCTTTGTTTGTGGGTGGTTATTTGAGGCTGTATTTGGTGCATATGCGAACTTATTTTTATCCTTCTGTAGAGTATGAGTGTCCACCCTTCCAGTGGATCTCTCAGGATAACTGCGGTCGATAATGTTCACAGCGGCATGCTTTGAGCTATCAAAATGTCAAACTGCATTGTAAAGTAATAATTAGGAAACTGTGGCTTATGGCCATATGCATTCAGCCAGAATAGCCCATATTCTAGTAGTTGTAGGACAGGTCGGTGCTCTTAAATTTTATTTTGATGTATTTGGTTTATACTTTCGAATTAATGATGGATGAGTATTAGGATATGAAGTTTTGAGTTTTAACTTTTATAACGTTATTCTTTCCTCACTTCATGGTCTACTTGAATGATTTATGCTAATATTTGAGCCCATAAGTCTGAGTTTATTGCGATTATGTTGAATTCATTGAAGTGAGCTTGGCTTATTAGTTCAAGCTTTTTAGTTTAGTAGCGAATAAAGAAGATGCTGGAAAAGAAAACTGGACAATGAAAGGACTAGCAGCGAATTGACGAAATATTAAATTACATTCAATGTTAGAATGAAGTATATGAAGAGGAAGGGAATTAATAGTACATATATTTGGTTAGCATTTGAATCATTTTAATCACAGCCCATGATTTTATTTTCTGTCTACCAAATCAATTCTCTGCAATTAGCCTAGTCTACAGAAAATTGTTCAAGGCATCCATCTTTGACTGACCACCATCAAATTTTCAGTGGAGGCTTGCAGCAAGATAGATATTGACTAATTTTCCAATTTTTATTTGGTTTCACTCTCACTTTCGGAGTACTTTTCAATTTTATGTGGTTTTCAGTTTCACTTCAAATGGATACGATAAGATATTTTTCACTGCAAGCCATAGACAACCAAAAATGGGAGTCTCATCATTTCAGTCACAAAAAAGTTGATTTTTCCTGAAAAAGTCGATTAGAGGTCCAGCGGTAACCTATGATATGGTATATTTCGAGTCAAATACATCGAATGTGTTCAATTCTATAGAGAGAAGAGCATTTTCTGACCGTGAACAAAGCTTTCAAATCAAGAAATTTTGTTGTTGGCTAAGGATCAGATTTCATTTCATCGTCCAAGCTGGCCTCTAGCTTGGGATAAAAGGTGCTAAAATTAGGCAGTGATGGCAGGAAATGGCAACTATTTAGGGATAGTTCTATATTTGTCATACGTGGGAACCAGATGATCAAGTGCTATCATATTTGGTTTGATTATTGTACTATCGAGACTGCTTAGAAAGTTTCATTTTATTTGGTAAAATATTTTTTTAATGATATCAAACCAATTTTATTAGATCTCACATTTTTTTCCCACATGGTTAGATCAATTGTGAAACTATTCGTGTAAAAAAGAAAAAAAAACTTGACTATTTCTATTGGATAAAAAAAGATTTCATCTAGTTGCAAAAAGTTTAGTCTTCGTTGCTTTAATTAATTAATTATTTTCTTTTTTGAATTCATTGATAATGAACTAGATTGTGATTTGAACCATTAACCTTACAAAAAGTCACTTTATAATTTATTTAGTTAAATTATGTTCAAGTTGACTTAAGTAGTCTATGTTAATTAACATTTTGGAATAGTAGGAATGAGAAGCTTTATCATTACTCGTGATACAAATTCAAAATTCCTTACTATAATAATTAGACAAGCATCTAATCTAATCATGCATGTCCTTGTGACAAGATATTATTTTCATCCCATGGGGAGGCTAAGGGAGGATTTCAATTAGTGTGGACCACAACACAAAAGTTAAAGAGCCGTTTGAAATTGGTACAAAAGACCTGCTTTCTTTGACTCTCACTCCTCACACCTTCATTTTCACTTGGTTTCCTGTTGAGTTGGAGAATACGCTGACATCATCGTTTTCCCATGATTTTTTTTAGTACAACACATAGAGAATGTGGGATCGAACTCTCAACCCCATGGTTGGAGGTATATGTCAATTACTGTTGAACTATGCTCGTTTTGACAATTATTCGAAGGGATTGTAACAATGATAATATTTTATATAATGTTAGATGTAGAAAAGAGAAATTAAAAATTACGTTGATTGCCACACTATGGTGTCCACATTGAACAGCTTTCACTTTCATTCAATGTTCAGTCTATGGTAATGATAAAAGTTATTTAATGTATAACAAATTTGATTTCACTTTTTATTTTTTAAATAAAATTGTTTAGTATTAACATATATTTAATTAAAAAGAAGGGATGTTGGATAATGATTTTGAGTTTTATGTTCTATTTATAAAAAAAACCAAGTTTATTCATTAATATTTTCTTTTGGTTTCATACTCTACTTCTCAAATGGTATTCAAAATTCTAAGAACTAAATAATTTTTTTTTTAATTTTAAGAAATTTCAAAGTGAAATAGATTCTAAATAATTTCAAATTTAAGAAGCAAATCATAAGAAATACTAGTACATCCCAAACTAAAAAGTAAATTATGTTTTTAAAATTTAATCAACATTCCAAAGCCTATCCAAAAAACTGAAAGCAAGTGAAACACATTATGACTAAAAATACTGAGTGAAAAAGTTGGAGCATTAAATTAATTACAAGTGAAAATATAAATAATATTACTATTTTTGATACTATAAATATGTTGATTACCATAAAGTCCTCGGCATCTCCCTCTTTTGTCCTTCAAACTAAGAGGAAAACAATGGCAAAGGCCGTCATAGAAAAATCTCTGCAACTCCCAGACTGCGTGTACCAAAACGACCCCGTTTTGATCAAACCAAGCAGCGAAACTCCGAAGCATTTTCTACCACTTTCCGATCTGGACGATCAACTTTTTCTAAGATTTTCAATAAAGTTTTTGTTCGTATTCCGACGATCGATCCAATCGGAATGGCTAAAATGGGGTCTCTCGAGAGTTCTTGTGGATTACTATCCGCTGGCCGGGAGGCTGAGGAGGCGTCCCGATGGCGGCGAGAAGCTTGAAGTTGATTGTAATGGAGAGGGCGCTTTGTTTGCTGAAGCATTCTTGGATGTCGACTCTCACGATTTTCTCTCATTTTCTTGGAAGCCAAACAGGTCTTGGAGAACCCTTTTGTATAAGGTCCAAGCCCTAAATTTCACCCATGTTCCTCCTCTTGTTCTTCAGGTTGCACTTTTTTCTCTCTCTCTCTCTTCCATTTACCTAGAAAATTATATAAGAACAGTTTATTTTATTTTTATTTTTCTTAATTGTAAGACTATGGTTTTTATTCTTTAGGTCATATCTCTTGAAATCATATTTAAATTTCAAGTCGAATTTCAAAAACAAAAAAATAACTTTTGAAAATTAAAATTTGGCTTAGGGTTTTGATAATGTTTAGAAAAACTATATATAACAAAACAAATGTGTTATAAATTTATATAGATTACATAATCGTTTTTCTCCTTAAGAAGAGCCTTTACCGCCTAAATCAGTGAGTATAGGTGGTTATGCATAGAAAAATCTCATATAATTTCTAGCAATTAACAAGAGCTAAATAGAGATATTTGACCAAAAAAATTTATAGTAATTCAGTCCCAAAAAGGACTTACATTATTCACTTTACTTTACAAAGTTAACTTGTTACCATTCAATCTTGGTTCAATTATAAATTATACATATGGTTCAATTATCATAAGCTTTTTCCTTTTATGTGAAAGAGAGTTCATTGTTATATTTCTAACAGTTCAAGTACTAAAATTTTATAAAACAAAAGTTTGCAAATCAAAATGTTACCTCAACCGAAGGGTAAGAACAAGAAATGTGTTTTAACAGCAAGTATAGATTAGAAGAAATCAAAAAGAAAATTTAGACATTGATAATCCGTTTAGTGTATTCTCAATTAAAAAAACGAAAGGCCGTGAACAATTGATTTTTTTATTTTCTATTCTATTTTCAAACATAATTTTTTCATGGTCAATATCAATTTTGTTTGTCACAATCTGTCTTTAAAACCGTTCCAAATCAAATGTAGAAATTTAAAATTATGCTAATCTCTTTTCAAAAAAATATATAACAAAAAAAAAAAAGTAGGTTGTATTTAAAAAATTAGAGAATTTTCAGGTCACATATCTCCGGTGCGGAGCTATGATTCTGTGCACCGCGATCAATCACTGTTTATGCGACGGCGTCGGAACGTCCCAATTTCTGCATGCCTGGGCCCACGTAACTTCCGAATCAAATCTCGGCGGTCCACCAATCTCACCCTTACACAGCCGCCACGTGTTATCTCACCAAGGCCCAATTCAAATCCCCTGCGCTCATCCCCAGTATACCAAAACCCCACGGGCCAGCTGGCACGTCGACATCACCAAATCCCTCCAATCTCAGCCGTTGATCCCCTCTTCCTCAATCTTCACCGCCGCTCGCATCCTCCGCCTCAAGAGCCTGTGCCCGCCGACCTCAAACTGCACCACATTCGAAACCCTAGCTTCGCACACGTGGCGCTCCTGGATTCGTTCCCTCGATCTCCCCCCTTCACTCCACGTCAAGCTCCTCTTCCCTGTAAATATCCGCAACAAACTCAGCCCCAAAATCCCTCAAGGCTACTACGGAAACGCCTTCGTTCTCGGATGCGCCCAGGATTCTGTCGACCAATTGGCCGTTCCCGACAACTTAAACGGCGTCATCCGGTTAGTGCAAAACGCGAAATCGATCATCGATGACGATTACGTCAAGTCGATGATCGTTCTGCTGGAGGATAAGAATCTGCTTGCCGACTTGTCGGTTAGTTTTGTTATATCCGACTGGTCAAAATTGGGACTGCAGGACTTGGATTTTGGGGTCGGGAAGCCGCTCCATATGGGTCCTTTGGCCAGCGATGTGTTCTGTCTATTTCTGTCGGTGATCGGAGACGTTAAAGCGGTGAGAGTGCTCGTGTCGGTGCCGGAGAACGTGGTGGAGAAGTTTGAGTATTATATGACGGGAGAGTACTTTTCCGACGAAGAGACGGAGGTCTTAACGGAGAAATCAGTGGCTGGACCTGGACTGGCCCACTTTAAATAAATGGGCTATTTTATGTGGGCCTTCCATCGTTTGATCTACGGCCCAATTGGCCCAAAATAAATTCACCACACAGAAATGGTTGTGTGTGTATTGTAAAGGGCATGTGACGTGAGAGTGTATCTACCTCTTTGTTAAGGACTGTTTTCAAAATTGCCTCATAATATTGGCATATTCATTTATAATTTATCTATGTCCTTTAGAGTATGACCTTGGTTATATTATTGGGCGTGAAGCAAATTATTTAAATTAATTTTTGAAAATAATTATTGCCTTGATATTAATAGGTTGTATACTTGTTAGTGGTGGTTAAAGTACGGAACAATAGCATTTTATTTCTTTATATAGTAAAAAGAGTTAAAAGGGTATTTAATATATTTTCACTAAAAAGAAAATAAAAGTGATTCAATAATAAGAATAAGACTAAATGTGGATGTATTGTAATTGAAAAATGGGAAATTTAGAGTAAATATGGTTCACATTGTTTGATTTGGAAAAATGTAGTCCATTTTGAAATGTCTAGTTATAACACACAATCTTATCTTTAAAGCAAAAATTGCCAAAATTGAGATGTAATCAATAAAACCGACCTTATCTTTTTAATTTGTCTATTGAAGCACTTAAAAGATAAGATGGGGAAGAGAGTGGACCTAATAGTTTTTATTTAAGAAAAAAGAGACAAATGAATGAACCAAAAATTCAATAGGTCAACTTGTATTATATATAACTGGAAAAAATGGAAAACAATATAATTTAATGTGTTATATGTTTTTTTAATTACTATGGTTGGAAAAAAGACAAAACTTCTGTTCATAGATGCCCCCTTTATTCTCTATATGTGTTTGCTGTGGTGTACCGCACCACTTGGGATTTGTTTTTAAGAAGCGCAATTTTTTTTAAACTCTTCTGCCATTAATGTGTAAAGCTTTATTTTCTTTTTCTTGTTTGGAAATTGCAAAAGGACCCAGGGGAAAGAGGATGTCTGTACCATACTTGGTTAGAAAAAGACACAAAAACAATGTCAACATGCCTATGTTTTTCTAATAATTAATATTAAGAAATCAAAAAATAAATTACCAATTTCGTCCTAATTTGGGTCCTAATATGTATCATGTATTCCACATAGATAGGGTAGTAAATTTGATTCGACTATTTCGAATGCAAATTTATATGAATGTATTTTTGGATTAAATTCATAAATTTTGTTTTTGTTTTCTTCCGCTTTCACTTGGTTATATAGGACTGTACGTAGTCACACCATTAACATATCTCAAATTTAGTCCAATTTAAATTAATGAATAATAATACTGTGACAAAAAAATTTAAAGTACACGATGAGAAAGCATATAATATATAGCTAACAAATATAATATAGCAATAAAAACAGGTTCTTTGGATCTATAAAATAGTGCAAAAGGAAGGCAAGGGGAGGGTATGGCCCCTAAGCATTTAAATTATTTATCCCCCTGCCCTAAATTTTAGAAAGCAAATATTCTCCTGTTCCAATGTTTTGTCTTCTTCTCAAAAACCCACCTTTACATCCCCCACTTCAAACCCTTCTTTTAAGGGGCTGTGCCCCAAAAAGACTAAAAAAAAAAAAAAAAATCAGATATCTTTAATTTTTATTATATTCAAAGTGGAACATTATTACTTAGCGTTGTCAACTCCTAGTTAATTAAATAATCTGCTTTCCTATTACGAACATGAACGTAGCGGTAATTGATATATATCTTCGATAAGGGATCATGAATTTGAACACTGTTATTCTTACTTGTTATACTAAAAAAAACTCATTTACTTTTAATATCTCGATCAGATTCAAATATTTTTAAAAACTTTAGGTTTCAAATTTTGTTAGAATTAAATTTTCTTTTTAAATCTAAACAAACTTAATTTTCAAGAATTTATGAAAAGCATGTTCCTGCAGGAAAGAAGAGACATGTAAAAGCTGGGTGTGGTACTATAAGAGATACTGTTGGTGAAATTGCTCATAGAAAGAAGCTAAAAGATATATATATATGAGTAAAGAGGGAAAAGGCAGAATAGTTGAGAGGGAAAAGTTACCACTTTGAAAACCCTAAAATCTAAAGAGAGAAAAAAAAGTTTTTTTTTTCTTGGAAATTATTTAATTAATTAAAACCTGCACCTGCCTCATATAATCATGCAGACGTTCTGTTAATCTATTTAATTATAATTCATTAATTTAATTTAAAATATTTGACATGAACCTAGTGTGGAATGTGGATGCCTGTTATATATGCTTATTACTCTGATGAGTAAAAGTCTCAACATGAATTAACATTTATTGAACTTACATGTATGGTTAGATTTTTAAGAGTCTATTTGATAATTTTATGGTTAGATTTTAAAGAGTGCATGTGATAATTATTTTTATTTTGATTTTGATTTTTGTTTGAAAAATTTAGTTAAACATTATTTCTATCTAGGTGCTTGTTTGCTTTCTTATCTATTTATTAAAAACGTTTTCAAAATCTAAGTCAATTTTCTTTTTCTAAAGTAGTTTTAAAAAAGTGGTCTTTATTTTTTAAATTTGGTTAACAAGTTTATGCGGGAATAATATGTTACATATTAAATAAATAGAAAGGAAATATGTATTAATTCTTGAAAACAAAATTTAAAAAACAGTTACTACATGAGAGACCTAAGCTTTGAATTTATTTATGATTAAGGAAGAATTAATAGTAAGACTAAAACATGTGAAGTTTAAGGACTATACCAACATAAAAATTTAAAGCATTCAAAAGATTATTAAAATACAAAATCTCGAACTCCATTTAATTTACACTGTTGGTTTCTTGATCAAAGTTAACATTGAATTCATTGGTAAAGTGAAGAACAGTGAAAAAAGATTAAGACATGAAAAAGATAAAATTTACCACAATTTAAACAATACTTTTGGGTAATTTTTTAAACCAAAGACTCAAGTATTATTTCGAGGGAAGAATCTTTCCAGTAAATCAGATCAGAAAGTGAGATTAAAGGATTAATAAGTTTTTAATGTGTCTTAAATTAATATATATTGAGAAAAATGCAGCAAGCTTTAGTGGGAATGCATATTTTTGAACATAACATGAGAAGTTGCTGCTAAGATAAGTAAAGGGGCAAAAAAGGTAAAAGCACTCTATAAAAAGAAGAAAAGCTTTAAATAATGAAAAGATATAAATAGTCAAATATATATAATATTATGGTATGAACTTAAAGCATATTAATGTATAAAATGTGCAGATAGGAAAGAGCAGAGAAGAGAGAGAGGAGCTTGCCCATACTCTCTGATCTCACATTCTCCATCAACTTTTTAGTCTGATGTGATTCTTAGTGGGCCTCATCAAATTATTATAGGTCTTTTCATTAAGGTGAATCATACTTAATTAACTTATTTATCTTCAAATTATCATATACCCATCTTTTCTAAGGTGAATCATTCTTAATTAACTTCAATTATATAGGATGTGAATGTGAGATCTATTCTCTTTCTTTAATTTTCACTTATAATGTAACATAGTTAAAAGAAAAAAAAAAGTGATTTTTAAATCCAAAATCTAACCCGGGATTAATGAATATAAGAGAGAAAAGAAGAACATTCTAAGAATTTAAATATTTAGGGCGTCTAAAGTTGAATTTATTATACCATCTATGTGGGATCATTGGTAATATATCAATATTCATACAGTACACTTATATTATAAATCTTTATAAAGTATCTTCTCTTTTCAATGTACGATTCTAAACCGTCTATTATTAGACTTCTGTATTTTAATCAAAATATTTGAATGAAACTTGAGGAGATAGTTGTTGAGATGTATTGGAAAATTAGACAGAATAATATATATCTATGCAATATATGGTTTGTAGGTTAGAAATTAATAAATCTGGCTGCTTGCCACTTAGGGGTATGGGTGTGACACAAAATTCTAATTTTTCAATAGCATCATAATCAAAGATTTTGAAAGCAAAAGGTCTTTGCTCCATGGCCCTCGTACCCCCACACGAATCTAAATAGCTTAGATTTGCCGTTGCCTATCTCTGATCGCTCCAATTTAATCTTTGCATGAGACGCAAGATTAGTATATTATAATCATTATATGCATTTTCACCCTTCGTGTAAATAGATTGATTGTTTCTAATAATTATTGTTTTGACTAAGTATCAATTCATAAATTAAAATAATTATTTATATTTATTTCATTTGAGAATTTGAAGGTTTGGAAGATCCTAAATTCTGGAAGTGTGAGCAGCAATGATAATATATAAAAGTAGAGGAAAAGGAAAGAAAAAGAAGATAAATTATACTACAAATTTTTACGGATTAATAGGGCTATATGTCGTATCTTTTGCATACACACACACTGTAAGTTTATATTATAAGAATAAAGATTATTACAATGAATAAAATAAACCTCACACACACCTTATACAAGAATATTTCTCGCATTTGATCTACCAACTCAAGTTTTAAAATTTTAAATCTGCCTCAATAGATTGATGGATAGGTAATGAACATCCAAAATTTCATAAGAAAACGAAAAAAAACTTAACTTGTAATATGATGCACGATCCTCTTATTCTATCTCTTTTTCCACGTCATGGCCTAAGTCTTTTTTTTTGTCACCACAACTTTTAGTTGCCTTCATAAATTTTACATTGGGTTTATTTTAAACATTGATTTATATTTAAATTAAGATAGAATGAGTCTATTAAATGATTAGGCTTCTCCGTATATTTTAGTTTTTTTAATTAATATATATGTTTCAAATTGATGTGTTTAGAATAGGGTTTTCCCTAAGAAAACAAAAGAAAAGGGAAGGGTGAACGATGGTGGGGAGAACTAGAAGTTACATTATAAAGCTCTCACTTTTTGCAAATAATTTTAGATCAGGAAAATGTGTGTAAGAAATTCGTTGGTCAAATTTTCCTAGAAAAGTTGCTATGTCATCGAACCCACAAAAACAATTAATTAATCAAATTAATATTTTATTTTCCTTATTATCTCCAAAAAATTAAACAACTCCACTCATCGAGAGCAAACGTGACATAAAGGTAAATTCCTCTTTTTTATCATACATTAGTCTCTCTTTTTGTTTCGGTTTCGATTTTCTAAAAAATGAAAAGGAAAAAAAAAAAACTAGAAGAGAATATGGGGCCTAAAACATATATAGCCATGGCATTGAGTCATTGACAAACCTTTTTTTTTTTGTTGAAAAATTAGATCGACACTCCTAAATTAAAAGACAAAAGCAAAACCATGCAACTAATGGAATTAGAGCGCTGATATTAGTTTTTGTAAGAGAAAAAACTATGGTTTAGTAATAACAATTTTATAAATTTGAAGGCTAATGGAAAATAATTTTTGTTTTGTGCGTTGTTCTTTTCTTTTTATTTTTAGTATGGAATATAATGTGGTTACCACAATTCTTTTGGTTGTTTAGGGTGACGATTCTCATGCCATAGGGGATGGCAAAGATGGCTGCAACGGCACCAATAAAGTTCCATATTAGCTAGCGAAGAGAATGATCATGGATATATAGGAGATGACAATTATCTCCATTGGTATGAGGTCTTTTGGGTGAAACCAAAAATAAAGATGTTATGCCCAAAACAGACAATAGCATTGGTCACAATGTTAGTCACTAACTCTGTAACCAAAGATCTTTGAATTTGTGATATGACATATTCTTGAAAAAAGTTATTTTTATTTTTGTAAAATGAGTTGAGCAATTTTTGTATTTATTTCGGCCTTCAAAGCTAGACTTTGCACGTGGCTGACGGGTGAGGGAAGAGAACTACTTTTAATGCATGCTACTAAACAATGATGGCCATGGGGCAGTCTTACAGAACATGAGGGCTCTGTGGATAATAAAATTATGTCCACATAATTCCCAATCTTCAACTTCAAACTTCAAAGGTCCACACAATTATATGTTACAAAAATAAACTGTTTATTTTATCTTCTACTTACTATTTGTAATTTCCTGTCCTCTAGACTTTTCACTGTACCTTTTTTAAATTACAAGAGAGATATTCAAACAACCTTGAAAACTTATTGACAATTCATGTATGTAAACTGTAAAGCATAAATAGTGTTTGTATTTATGTCACAACATTGAAAATAAAAAAGATCGTAAATAAATAAGATCACGCAACAGAGCAAAAAGTCAAATCGGTTATATGATCTTTACAAGACGATTAGTCGTCTAAATAGAATTATGGAGCCAAGATATTTTGATGGAAAACCGACGGATCGACAAAAGAAGAATATAAACTATATAAGCGTGTGGTTGCTATGATTTCAGTTGGCAAAGTTTTGTTTTAAATTTTGAAAAGCCTTGGGATCGAAGGCAGCTGGGCTTCTTAATCATAACGTAGAGGAAGTAATCATCTTCCTGTAATTGCAGATAATTCGGGAAAAAAAAGAGAGAGAGAGTAAAAAAAATAATTAAAGTTAGTCAGAGGGGTATGGGGATGAATAACCCCACGCCCTTTCTTTCTTTCTTTTCAAGGCTACTTTTGTAAGAAATAAATTATAAATTGCAGAAAAGTGGGGGGTAAAAAAGCAAAATATGATCTGGGAATGTGCCTTGTTTCGATGCAGAGATTCCTAACACTTAGAACAACAAAGCTAACTTGTTTGTTTTGATCATTGCCCATCACTCTTATTTTCTTTCTCTCTTCTTGGGATTTTCAAGCTCTTTCAATTCCCTTTTAATATTTATTACTTATATATCTCAAAAATTTCACTTCCTAGATAGCTGTATATGGAGTCTGCCGCAAATCTCCATCACCACCAGCATCAGCTTCAAGACCAGCTCCTTCTTCCTTCTTCCTCTTCCTCTTCCTCTTCCTCTTTGCCTGTCATCCCATCTTATTTTGGCCTTGGAACCTCCCATGGTTGGACTCCCAATATTTCCCTGTGAGTCCTCTCTTTCTTTCCATTTTCCGAGATTTAAATCTCAGAAAGTTTATTAATATCTTAACGGGTTGAATTGTGTTTTCGAATTGATATCTTTTTTGTGTGTCTTATTACCAGCGTTTGGGGTAGCTGTGTTTTTTTACCAGGGTTTGAGAGTCTTTTATGAAGTTGCATTTGGGGATTTATGCTATATTTTGATATGTTTTTTATATATATATATATATAATTTTAATTTGGGCGAGGCCCCCTCGAAAAAAGATAAACTGAAACGGGTATGGATTGATTGATTTAATTTATATATGCTTGCTTATTAGCAACAATACCTGACATATTTTGAACTTCCTCAAGACCCCATTGAATTGCTGTAATTTTGGAAGCTAATTCATTAGGGTTTTTGCAAGTTCTTCTTTTCTTTTCTTCCCCGACTTTAATTAAGCATGCTGATGATGTGGGAAATATTTAATGTGGGGGATTATGGAATTTGGTGTTGTGTTGTGGCAGGAATACTTGCAACTACAACCCAAGAATATTCAATAATGGAGCAACTTCGATTCCAATTAGAGACTGTGGGCAGAAAAATAATACTTCTCCACCTCTCAACAGTTCTATGGTTCAAGATTTGGGGTTATTCCAATGGAGTAGTGGTGTAAATTCTTCAGGGAGTAGTTTCTTATTCCATGACCCGCAGGGTGGAAAAATCAAAGAAGAAATTTCCTCATTAGCTTCTGCTGCTGAATCTTTCCCCAAATTCACAGAAATGTTGAACAACAACAACAGCCCTTCGTGTACAAATCAAGATTTCGATCACTTAAAGAATACTAATAGCAACGATTCTCCGGCGGAGGATCTGAACGATCTCAGCCACAAGCTGTTGATCAAAACCCTCATTTCCTCCGGCTGCCAAATCGACGGTGGCGATCACATCAAACCCGGAGGTCATTTATTGTACAGCACTACTACTTCAAGACCAAATAGAGGCCACTTCGCTCAAATATACCCCAGCATTAATGTCTCTAATTGGAACCTCTCATCGCCGGCGCCGCCGTTCTCCAACTCCTTGGACTTGAACTTACAAACGCCGGCCGATATGTTGGCCGCCTCCGCCGGAAAATTCAGCCACTCGCAGGATAATTTTGGTATTTTTAGAGAAACCCTTCCTGATTATCACGATCACATCCCCAGCGTCCCATGCATTCCAAGTAAAGTAAGTTTTTTTCTCTTTTTTCTGGGTTAATTAAAATTTTTTTTTTTATATTGTTCTGGGAGGTAGATTTTAGGGTTATTATTGTAAAAGAAAGTGAAATGTCTTTAGCATAAAATTAGAGAGGGCATGGGAGGGGAGAGGGCTCTCTTTTTGCAGCAAGGGAAGGTACTTTCAGCTTTATACATTTGTAATTGTAAATGCATCTGCTTTCCCAGTCAACTACTTTCCCTTCCTTTTTCTTTTTACCTTTTTTTTTCAACTTTCTTTTCTATCTCTCAAACAACTGATTCGTCTTCTCCCCACTTTTTTTTTTCCTTTTTTTGGATTCTTAAAGATGACACCATTCAGCAGTGAAGTAACAGAAGCAAAGCGACCTTGTAACTCAATGGAGCCAAGGGTAAATCAACAGCCTCCTCCTTCAAAGAAAACGCGATTGGACTCACGCGCTTCTTGCCCACCATTTAAGGTTTCATTACTGTAACTAATTATCAACTTCATCCCATTACTTTTTAAAAGAAAAAAGATTATTATTTACTTCCATCAAAAGTGTACTCAGTGCATGGTTTTCTCTTTTTCTGGGCAGGTTAGAAAAGAGAAATTAGGTGATAGAATTGCAGCCCTCCAACAATTGGTGGCACCCTTTGGCAAGGTAATTCAACCAATCATGTTTAACATTTTTTCAAAATTAAAATAAAAATGTAAGATATTTGTGTGGTCAAGTAATTAATGTAACAATATAACCTATTAAATACAAAAATTGAAAGTTTTAATGAAAATTTTAAAGTATAACAATGGAATATAATTTTACTTTAAAAAAGAAAAAAACATAGATTTGAATGACAGCGGCTAGATTTCTGAATGACTAATTCTAGATACCTTGTAAACTGTAAAGTTCGTAGCTAGCTGTTTCGTAGGATTGGATGCTGTGTTTTGTTTGTTTGTTTGTTGTGAAAAAACATAGGTTATAGATTGGCGTTGTAAAATAATGCTGATGATGTTGCAGACAGACACAGCATCTGTGTTAATGGAGGCAATTGGATACATAAAATTCCTTCAAAATCAGGTCGAGGTACTTCTTTTTCCCATATATTACCTTTCTCATAAATCATCGTCCCTAATAACTCATGTCGTTTCAAATAATCTAAACCTTTTTATATTGCAGACCTTGAGCGTTCCATACATGAAGCCCTCCTGCAACAAAGCCTCTAAGCCGACACATCGGGTAAAAATAAGTAAATAAATAATAAAAAAGAAAAATACAATATTCTTCTCTTCCACTAACTGATTTTTTTGTCAGAGTTCGGTGGAGGATGGAAGTGAAGGGCAGCCAAATCGAGATCTCAGAAGTAGAGGGCTGTGCCTGGTTCCTTTCGGGTGCTTGTCTTACGTCACCGGCGACGGCGGCGGTGGCGGCGGAATTTGGCCGCCACCCGGGTTTAACGGAGGAACTTCTTGATAAATATATAATTAAATATATTTATTTTGAATTAGTCGAGAAATATTAAAGCTTCTCTAAGGACTAAGGCTCTAATGTGAATTAATGGAGCAAATTTGGTCAGTCTGTTTAAACCCATGGAGAGATACAGAAATGGACCAAGTTTGATCCATTAATATTAATCATTTCATGTATTGTTAATGATCCGTTGGATCCAACTTCACATTCCTTATTTTGGCTATCCATTATCTCATTACCCTTATTTTACCTTGGTTTTGTGCCTATAAAATTTCCTCACGATGAGGTATTTTGATTTTAATTGGATATAAATAAATTAGTAAGAGAAAAAGTTATTTAAAATATATTATTAATGTCTGACTTAGAGTACGATTTTAAATTATTAACATTAACACGTCAATTAAATATGTATATAATGAGAGGATGAACAAATCACACATGTGAAAATTTAAAAGTACACATGTATATTTCTTATAAATTATAATATTTTACGTATGAAATTTTGAAAAAATTGGTCTGAAATATCACTATTTTTATGCGCGATACTCTAGATCTGTTAATTACTTGCTATCTTATGACCAAATTGTAGATATAAAAATTCATTGTTAACGTTTTACTCTATTTTTAATAACTGAAGTTAGTTGTAAATAAGCAAATAGAAAAATATATTCGAACCTGAACACTAATCCAGATATGTACCCTCCAATCTTAGGTTAGAAGTTTGAGTCCCCAATTCATATGTTTTTTAACTAAAAAACAATATTTAATATTTAATCTGTGCAGGAAGAAAAAGTATTATTAAATATATTAAATCATCTCTAATTGTGTGAGGTAATTCCCAAATTATCTCAAATGAGTTCTTAATCTTTTAAATTCGCAATATTTGCTTCAATGTATTTAAAAGTTATTGATTAGATGATTAATAAAAGGATTTTTTTAGTACGATTATTAATAAAAAGTTGATGCTTCATTAAATATTATTGTATTATATTAAAATATTTGAACGTGTATTGAATATATCTCGAATTCTACTAAACATGTGAAACTCAATTAATATCTAGCAACAAATTCTAATTAAACTGTATGTTATGTATGGAGCAATACGCTACATCAAAAAGGACAATCGAGACCATCAACAGGGCCGGCCTAAGACACGGAGGTCGGCCCAACAAAGGGCCGACCCCACCTCGGCACCGACTCCTTCTCGGCCTTAGGTCGAGAAGGGCCTCGACGACTCTCCTTTTTCCCTCTCAGTCCCTGTTTCAAGTGAGTGGCGTTTGTGCCCCCAAGCCGATCCCTATTCTCGATCCTCTACCGATGCTGGAGACATCCCGGCCCAAAGCCCACGAATATCAAATCTAGGGTTGACATCCTGAAAAATCCTGAGGACAAATCGACTATAAATAGGGAGGGGATCACCCCTTGAAAGTAAGCTATAACTACACTTTCAAATTTGCTAACTTAGATATCGGAGCCAGTGTGACTAAAGTCACACAAGGTTAGGATTTTTGTTCGGTTTTGTAGATATTTTGTCTCGTAGTATTCGAGTTGGTGCGCGGAGATAACCGGTCTACCAAAATCCCAGCATCAACACTCCATCCGAGAAAATATATTTTTTTAAAGAGCGTGTCCAAATGACATTTACCTACATATTCAAAATTAAATATTAATTTAATGGTGTATCAAATTTTTATTAACAAAGTCTATCCATTTTTTCATTAAAAGAAAAATCTAACTGCTAATTTTTAAAAATTAAAGGCCAAGTTGAGAATTACCCTTTTTTTGTCCTTTTTTATTTGACGTGAAGTTGAGAATTACTTAAAATATGGGTGAAAATTTGGTATATTTAGTGCAAAAAGAAAGACTATTTTATCGTCCAACTTCAAATCCAATATCATCTTTTAATTAGACTTGAAAAAATTGTTTTCCTCCCTTTCAATAATTATTTAAGTGGTGGTAGATAAAAAATAGAAAACAACTCATTGATCTTAAGTTGATTTTTTTAAACACTCGTCACTCATCCCAATGGTAATAGACTTGTAAAAGAGAAATAAGAATTCTAAACAAGTCAATAGATGTTTGAAATTTACTCTCAAATGAATAATGTGACTCCTACGTACCTACAAATAATTTATTTTAGTATTTTATAGGTAACTAATGATTAGATTCTAAATTTTTAATGATATTCTCCCTAAGAAGTATTGAGACTTTTCAAATCAGGTTTTATGACAGATTTCAACAAATGACACGTGGCAGAACATTTTAAGATTATATATATATATATATATTAAGAAGTTCAATTAGATTATAAAGTCAAACTTATCAAATTTGTTTAAAAATATATATTTTAACAAGTTGGTGAATGCATGTTTTAAGCAAGATAACCAATGCTCAAGGCATTTACTTTTTATATATGCAAACAAAGGACGATTTATCCAACCGTCAATTATTAAAGTCACATCCACTGAGCTGTCACCGCCGAAGTCTTTTTAAGACTAGATATTTTTAGGAGGAAATGGAAAGGAAAACTGATATTTTTCCACCCCGAGTGGGTAGCCTTATCCAAGAACGTTTCAGGACGATTGTAATACACGTGGCGCTGATCGGAACCCCTTCATCTGCTCCGCCGCCGTCGACGGTAGAGAATATTTATTTTTATGATGTAAGCCGAATGCAGGGTGAAGATTCCCCAGACCCAATTTTATCCGTCGTTTTGCTCTCCTTTCAAAAGGACACAAACACCCTCCAGTAAATTAATAATCACATTTATTTGGCTTGTTGTGATTTTTTTTTTTTGGCTCCCCAGACTATTCTTTAAAAATAAGGTTTAAATTATATTTTTATTTATTTAATTAAGATATTAGAGTTAATTCTATCTTCTTTTATCAAAATTGAAGTCAAAGTTGACTTTTTAGAAAATTAACTCGTCGTTGGACTAAAACTAGTTAAAGTTACCAAAATTAAATTGAAAATGATCTCCAAATCTAATCCGAAATGTGATTTTTTTTATGTGAAAGGTGAAAGTTACTAAAATATATGAATATAATATATATAACTTAAATTGGAACTAAAATAAAATATTAAGAGGTTAAAAATTAAAAATTAAATTGAATGTGGATATTTAAAGATTAAATTAAGATAAACTAACAAATAAATGAACAAAACATAAATTTATACTGTGATCAACTTCACTTAAAGATTTTTGAGACAAAAAGAATGAGATGGACAAATATATATATATATATATATATATATATATTTGGAGTATAACATTTGGGATGAGGGTTCAAACCTACAATTTTTTGGTCTAAGATATATGTAAATCATCACTGTTCGCTTTGGCGAATAGATAGATTTATATCTACAATTTTATATCTACCATTAGTATTATAATCCATTGATTTTTATCGAGGTTAATTTATTGTATTTTCAAATTTAATTTTGTAAATTTAAAGATTGATTTGGTAATTACTTTTAATTTCCATAAAAGATTTCATTTTAGTTTTATAATTTAACTAACAAATTAGAAATTCATAAATTATTGAATAATTATATTTGAATAAGTTATATGATATTCAAACATATTTTAGAAATTTTTAATTCAATTTAACTTCGTCTTTTTCTTCATCGATGGCCCAAGGGCTAGAATGGTAATTTAGAATACATACTCAATAAATTAGAAATGGCGTGTGCTCTGAGCAAAAGTCTTCAATCACACTCCCTCCTCTTTGAAGAACCCATTTATCTTCTTGCCCGTCTACCGTTCCTCCTTATCCGTTCATCTTGTCGGTGTTTCTCTTCCAAGTTCTGTCTCTTTTTTATTTTTCCATCAATTTAATTCTTCGATCTGTATCGTTGATAATTTGTGAACTTAAATTTAGCCATCGATTACGTGCTTAAAATCAGATTTTGGATTCTAGAATTACGGGATCGAGAATCTGGCGGGAATCGTTTTACCTGATCGAGCTGTCATCGCCGATTTTTAGCGTACAATTCGGAGAGCCCTGTTGCGAGTTTCGGTCGTGATTCGGCCTAATTTTCGTATCTATAAAAGGTAATGAATCTTTAAACACTTCCGAGTGCTAAGATTGATGATCACGACCCACTTTATCTCCCACTGACGATCATGATAGATAGCCTTGATTGATAATGGAAACGTTGAATCCGACTATACGAGTCTTTTATCTACTTTCTATTCCATTAAAAACTCGTCGCCAAGAGACTGTTATTTGAAATTTACATACTGGTGACTAAGACTATTTAATTTTCTTCGCCAGAATTTTGTTCACTTCAAATTTCAATTTCCTTCGTCCGTCATAATATGAATAAGTTTAAGTGAAGAATTCAAGTTTGTTGCGCCTACTGATTATATGCGTTGGAATCGCGAATTCATTTTGCAATTTCAGTTTGTGTCATAATATATATTTTTTTGGTTAAGATTGGGGATTGTGCTTTTTAGTGTTGTCTGATCATTTTCATTTGGGTGAACTGAAGGACGCGAGATGGGGTCGTTGCAAGGACCAGTTGTTTGCCCCACTATTCGTGCAAAGCAAGCAGGATTGTACTCTCTGCCACTCAATCGTTCTTTAATGGCTTTTAGTTTTCGAAGAGGCGAATTATGGGGATTCACGGGGATCAACGGTTTGAATGCTAACTTGCCAGCTGCTTCTAACAAAGGTTGTGCTAGAAAATGCAAGACTCTGCGTTGCAGCTTCAGTTCATCATCTGATGGCAACGGAAGTACAGCAGAGAACTTCAACGAGAAGGATGAAGAGTATGTTGAATCGAGCGTGGTTGAGGCTGGTATGCTAAGCTGATGGCCTTAATCACATGACTATGTTTTATTTTCTTGAATGAAGTGTCTACAAATTAGTATTTCTCCGTGATTGTTCTGCAGTTTTAGTGATACATTCTGTAAGTTATCTGATTGAAGAAGAACCTTAGGACCATTTGGGAATTTAATGCTACTGTATGTTAATATGCACTTAGACCTTAGACGGTGCTATTAACTGATTGAAATGTTCTTTGGTTTGTTTGTGCCCTGTATAGTTGAGGTGAAAAGTGGTGCGGACGGTTTCATGATTAAAATGAGGGATGGTAGGCACTTAAGGTGTGTTCACAACAACCCTCACGGTGGACATCTGCCTGATTATGCTCCACATCCCGCAATCGTGTTGAAGATGGAAGATGGGACTGGTCTTCTTCTTCCCATAATCGTCTGTATGTATCTGTGGATGATAGTTTCTAACATGAACTTAATGTCATTGAACGAATTTGTTTTTGTTTTTTGTTTTTGACCCTATCAACTCTTCACCTTTTGCAGTGGAGATGCCGAGTGTGCTGCTTCTGGCTGCTGTGCGCAATGTTCCAATTGTATACTTTCTCATTTCTGTCTTCTCTTGAGATTGGACATAGTTGCTTTGGAATTTGAATTTTGGAAACTTGTGAAATTAGAAACATTCTATTCCATTGAACAGGAATTTTTAACAATTATTATTATTTGGTTCCAGGCCAGACCAACTATGTATCAAGTGGTAAAAGAGATGATCGACAAGATGGGTTATGAAGTA